AGTTGCATGCTCACTCCTAGCACTTTCTTATTTAATATTAACATGACAACCTCACTGTTAGGAGCCATGATAATGCTTTAGCATTACCATAATAAAAATTTACTACAGTGGAACCTCGGTACTCGAACTTAATTCATTCCAGAAGGCTGTTCAAGTGCCGATCTGTTTGAGTACCAAACAAATTTTTCCCAACCAGCTTTCTTTTTTGTTGGCTGTTATCACTAATCTTCTTAGGCCCCATGGTGACTTATTTATACAATAAAAAAAAAATGCGAAGAAACCTGAAATAGTTCACAGTGAAGTTCTGGCAGGTCGTGTTTGTTTGATCGAGTGCTGAGCAGTCAACTACCAAGCGATTTTTTTTACAGAACAAAGTGTTCGAATACTGAATTGTTCAAGTAGGGAGCTGTTCGAGTACAGAGGTTCCACTGTACTGTATTTGTGAATGAAGGGATAATTACATTTGTAGTGGAAGGAGATTCAATGTCTTTGCAACAGGAAAGAATCAGTACAGTGGACCCCCGGATTTCGTCCTGTGCTGAAATTGCACAATTCGGATTTTGACCACTTTTTTTTGGCGAAATTTTACCCCGGGTTTCGATCATCCGCTCGGAAATCGTCCATATCAGACGCATCCGCCTGGGCCACTCATACAATCAGGACTCACTCTTGGGTACATTAAATGTTTAATACAGTGGACCCCCGCCTTACGAACGCATCGCATTACTTTAAATCCGCCATATGAAGCATTTGAACGCAAAAATTTTGCCTCGCCTTACATGATTCGTCCAGGACGCATCCCACGTGTGGCCTCAGTGCCAGTGTTTACAAGCCAGCCAGTGCGGTCGCATCTACACATACATTCGGTGCATTTCACATTATCCCAGTGTTTTTAGTACTTGTAACTGCAAAATAAGTCACCATGGACCCCAAGAAAGCTTCTAGTGCCATCCTTGTGCTAAAAAGAGCAAGAATTAGTATGGAATTGAAAAAAAAGATTAAGGAAATGTGTGCAAAGTGGGTTGAACTGCAAACCTTTATGGATGAAAATCACCCTGACATAGCTACTGCAAGCCGTGTTGGCAACCTGTACAATGACAATGTTATGGCCCATTTTAGGAAAGTCTTAAAGGAACAGGAGGTACAGAGCTCTATGGACAGATTTGTTGTGCGACAGAGGTCCAGTGACTCTCAAGCTGGTCCTAGTGGCATTAAAAGAAGAAGGGAAGTAACCCCGGAAAAGGACTTGCTACCTCAAGTCCTAATGGAAGGGGATTCCCTTCTAAACAATAACTTCCACACTCTCCCCTCCTCTCATCCCATCAATCATCACCAGATCTTCAATAAAGGTAAGTGTCATGTAATTGTGCATGTCTTCTTCAGTTTGTGTGTATTAAAATTAATATTTCATGTGGTAAAATTTTTTTTTTTTCATACTTTGGGGTGTCAGGAACGGATTAATTTGATTTCCATTATTTCTTATGGGGAAAATTAATTCGGCTAACGATAATTTTGGCTTACGATGAGCTCTCAGGAACGGATTAATATCGTAAGGCGGGGGTCCACCTAGGATATTTTCTTCAAAATTATATAAGAAATACGTTACATAGCATATAAACATGCCTTTGTTACTCGTTCACTAAGAGTGTCCCTCTAGTCTTAAAGCCATAGTAATAATACTAATACGTAATAATAATCACTCATGGACACATTAAATGTCTTACTTTATGTTAATATAGACATTTTCATTAATCCATCTATGATATTTTCTTCAAAATTATATAACACATTACATAGCATATAAACATGCAATGTTTATATGCTATGTAATGTTTATATTATATGCAATGTTTATATGCTATGTATGTTTAAATCAGTCTTGGGCACATTAAATGTCTTATTTTATGTTAATATAGACATTTTCATTAATCCGTCTATGATATTTTCTTCAAAATTATATAAAAAACACACTACATAGGAGGGGTAGTAGTTGGTGGAGGGAAAACATTACATTTTCTCTAGTCCAGCATTAGAGAAAACGTGTATGAATCTGCGTTGACCCAGTCACCGCCCTTAATACACAATGCTTTTGATTACAATTCTCGGAGTGAATTATTCGTTACTTCTCCCTTTGTTTGTGATGGTATCTAAAGGTGATTGTTAGAAACGATTAAACTCAGTGAACATGGTATGCTGATGGTAATAATATGGCTTTGGGCCGCAGTGTAGGTAGTCGGTAGGTGAAGCCCAGGCTACCTACACCGACTTCCTACAAATAAATACTACTCACCTCTTGCCCTACATTATGACTACAAATATTTTAAGGTAAGTAATGAATGTACTATGTATGTATTTTACTTTGTATTGTGTTTTTTAATGCCTAGTTCTATTACTAACTTAATTTATTTTTTGTTAATATTTCTGGGTGTCTGGAATGGATTAATTGGATTTACATTATTTCTTATGGGAAACATTACTTCAGTTTTCGTCCATTTTAGATTTTGACCAACCTTCTGGAAAGGATTAAGGATGAAAACCAGGGGTCCACTGTTCATGCAGACTCAAGTATACAATAAACATTGAAGGGCTGTGATCTGCAGACATGGCCACATTAACAACGCTCAAATGTTCCTTTGTGGAATATTTTTACTTGAAATTAAGCTGGGAAACAAAAACATTGTACTGTACATTAGATAAATTTTTATTTCTTCAGACTGCTCTTCCATGCAAAAACCAGCTTTTTTTTGTGGGAAACACTCTAGAAAAACAACAAACTTGCCAAAATTCACAAAATAATATACAGGGAATTTGGAGGAATTACTACAGAACAGTGTTTATTTATTTCTATTAGATCCCTGTTTTTGTGAACTGATGTAACCCTAGCTTGTGTGACTAAATCTGATTAAGTTTTGGTTGTACTGAGTTGTACTGATTAGTGACAGAATGCATGAAGCTTTTTTGTATATTAAGTGATTGGTTGCAACACACTCGCTAATAACTCGAGATTTCCATGTTCTGACTTGGTTCCTAGTAAGCTTTTTCTGTTCTGAACTTTCTTGTTAAAGGACTTGATATCTACCTCACCCACTGCCTGGCAACAGCTCTGTCAATGTGCAATTCCATGCTGAAAGTGAGTAGTTGCAACACTCTCCACTCTAGTTTACCTTACCCCTCCACTTGCTGACATTCTAGTGAACTACAACTGCCCCATGCAATTCTTAGCCAAGTTTTTAACTGCATGACACTCAAATCTTCGACTTTTTGTATTATATTTTTACTCTGACTTTAGATTTAATCAACCAATTTGCTCTACACTCAATCCCATAGCATGATTGCACTTACATGTCTTCCCACAGTAGTAAACTAACCCATGTAGTTCCTACTAGTGACACTGGTAAGAGTGAGACATGTGTAAGGAGCAAGAAAAGAGGCAGTGTTGAACCTCTTGTGCCTTAATGAAGCATAAGATAAATTCACATGCAACCGAGGATTTTTATTACAATACAGCACTGTATTATATTCACTGGGAAGTGCTAAACACATAAGGGTCATACAGAATCACTTGGCAAATGCAAAAAGACAGTAGAGAGAAAGCAGTGGAAGTGCTGAAAAGAGGACAATGGCAGAATGGAGTGAGGTGGGGGTAATCACAGATGATGTAGCAGAGTGGAGGAAGAGGGTTTATTTACATTAAAACAGCACCATAAGAAAAAGCTTAGTATGACAAGAATAGGATCAGTGTCAGTGGTAGCAAAGTCAGCAGTGGAAGTGTCAGTGGTGGCAAAGTCAGCAGTGGCAGCGTCAGTGCTGGGAGCAACAGGGGCATTAGCAGCACTGGAAGTATTGGCAGTGGCATCAGCACTAGTGTTGGTCTCACAAGGCAAAGTTCACTTGTACATTCTAAATCAAATCAGAAGCTTTAAGCTACAGCAAATGTTAAAGACTGGGGTGTCCTTGCTATTAGCCAGAAAGAACAGGAAGAGGTGGTGTATTTAGGTTTGCTTCAAGAAAAAGATGGGGCAATCTAATTTCTTACAACCTATGCCCTTCCATGAAGGGCAGAGGCTGTAAAATGGTTGATGTACAAGTCTAATTTTACATATTTTTGGGGGGAGGGGGAGGGAGGGAGGGAAGGAGGGAGGGAAGGGGGAATATCTACAACTAAAAATTCAACATTATTTGTGCTTTGAATTTAATGTCTCTAGATGTAATGTATCTTTTATCTGTCTTTTATCCACACTGATTAGGTCTCTTAAATGTTACCTCCTGTGGGATATGCTTCTCAATCAGATTCATTTTATTTGTTATTTCTAATTTATAACACTCTACATCTCTGGTCATTCTGGGATTAATATTAGCATATAAAATCAATATTATTTGTTTCACTGTGATTCTGGCTAATTCACAACCCAGTTTCAGAACATCACAAGGCTAGTGGAAACCTGATTTTACTATCACCATGAATTCACTTGTTTCTGCATCTGCCCTTTTATATGAGCTTCTTGCCTTGTAAATTCTCTAGTCAGCCAAAAATAAGCATCAGCGGTAGATCAATATATACTGCAGTACTAATCTTGTGTTTTTATTTTGTTAAGTGTTAATTTATCTGACAGTTGGATAAAGAACTGTTATCATTAAGGTTATTGACATGACAATTGGGTGATGACCACATTAGAAGTTGGGTTAGGTTATCTTAACCAACAAAAATATACATTTAACCAAAATTAAGAAAACTGAAAATAAATGAATATGGAATGACTGGGAACACTGTCAAATAGCATCAGTCCTTAAATTTTTCTCATCGGCTGTACATATATATACAAATAGATCTCCATACACACAGTGCAATTAAACAGTAACTTACAAGGAAGACAAACCTTAAACACCCAGTTAACAGTAACTTACAAGGAAGACAAACCTTAAACACCCAGTTAACAGTAACTTACAAGGAAGACAAACCTTAAACACCCAGTTAACAGTAACTTACAAGGAAGACAAACCTTAAACACCCAGTTATGATATGGGACTGATGAATCCTTGAAAGTTTCCATAGCTGGAGCTGCATCATCTGTGACCATGATAGTGACTTTATCTGCCAGGAGGACTGTAGCTGCTTCCCGCCATAGCCTACACACACAGGAAACAGCCAGAAGGTCACTCACACCCAGGTAATTGAAGAGGTTAACCAGTACCTATACCAGAATAAATACAAGTCACTAAAACAGAGAGAAAACAAATATGAATATAGATGATCAACTAATACAAGTCTGTTAAACTGTCCCTGACGAAGTTAAGTCAGTTATCATAATTTAATACGGTACATATTATGATGCCAAAATATCTGCAGCCATACCCTTCAAGGGGAATACCTTGATGTTTACCTGTAACTACCTGTAGATGATTCCAGGGAACCAATGCCCTGGGCTACTGTCCCAGACCCATCCTAATGATTGATGGCAATGGAAATAAATTACTGTCTGACATTTTTGGGTTATCCTTTGTACTCTACATATATGTTTTTTTTTTTTAACACACTGGCCATTTCCCACCAAGGCAGGGTGACCCAAAAGAAAGAAAAACCCAAAAGAAAGAAAAAAACTTTCATTATCAGTCAACACTCTCATCATCACTCATACATAATCACTGTCTTTGCAGAGGTGCCCAGATACAGCAGTTTAGTCATTCCAAACTGCCAATATTCCAAACCCCTCTTTAAAGTGCAGGCATTGTACTTCCCATTTCCAGGACTCAAGTCCGGCTAACCGGTTTCCCTGAATCCATTTACAAAATATTACCCTGCTCACACTCCAACAGTTCATCAGGTCCCAAAAACTATTCATCTCCATTCACTCCTATCTAACACGCTCACGCACGCTTGCTGGAAATCCAAGCCCCTCACCCACAAAACCTCCTTTACCCCCTCCCTCCATCCTTTTCGAGTACAACCCCTACCCCACCTTCCTTCCCCTACAGATTTATACGTTCTCGAAGTCTTTCTCTCTAATGACCAAACCATCTCAACGACCCCTCTTCAGCCCTCTGACTAATACTTTTAGTAACTCCACATCTCCTAATTTCCACACTACGAATTCTCTGCATAATATAAGCTGTTGTGTATGATAATTTATATAACTATTTATGTGTACCTGTACCTGAATAAACTTACTTACTTCAAACACCTTTTATTGTACGGCAATTAAGGAATGGAACAGACTGTCTGCATAAGTCAAAGCCAGTCATAGCATGAACCAGTTCAAGAAGAGAGCCAAAAGGTGCCTAATGAATATAGCGACAGAAAGGAAGAATGACTTTTTTTTTTTTTTTAGCTAACATACGTAAATATAAATAGCTCATTTTACTTTATTCCTAGTATATCTCCTTTATAGTGTAATAAGACATTATCTCCTTTATAGTATAATAATAAGGCATTAAAAGGACTCCAATGGAAATAAGCACTTTGTCTGAGGTTTTTGGGTTATCCTAGGTTCTCTACACATATGCTGCTATGTATGATAATCTATGTAACTGTATTTGTGTATACCTGAATAAATTTACTTACTTAATCAGACTATGGGGCTGGCACACCACAGCCGTAATGGCCTTATCAAGCCGTTACGGCTTGATAAAGCTCCTGGAGAGCGAAATGTTGCCACAATAAAATGTCACATTAGTTGCACTTGTGTCCAAACATATTGTTGGTAATTCTACCAACATTAATACAGAAGCTAACTTGAAGAACTTATTATGTTTCCTCTTGAAGACAGCTTGGGGCTTGTTGGTAATGTAAGTTTATTCTGGTACGGGTCATACATAAATACAGTTACATAAATTTTCATATCATAGCAGCATATGTGCAGATTACCTAGGATAACCCATATATTTATTTCCTTGTAAAGTTTACAATGTGTGGTTTACATGTTAAAAGATTTTAATTACAAAGATGGCCACATATCATGCCTAGGCACTTCGGGCAGACTAATACTAATTCTCACTCTATATTGATAAAGGTTATATTTAAGCAGTACATTTGAACATATTATTAGATACGTAATTAGATACATTCCTAGCTAGGTACATACGTAATTAGGTTTAAAGTAGTTAGGCAGTACAAATCATATAGTAACAATATTACAAATAATAGATTTAGTAATGGGATTCGATTTGTCTTGGCATGATACATTGTTTCTATTAAAGTGACTTATTTCCATTGAGGTCCTTGATGTATGGGGATACATAATTAGATACATTCCCAGCTAGGTACATACGTAATTAGGTTTAAAGTAGTTAGGCAGTACAAATCATATAGTAACAATATTACAAATGGTAGATTTAGTAATGAGATTCGATTTGTCTTGGCATGATACGCTGTTTCTATTAAAGTGACTTATTTCCATTGGGGTCCTTGATGTACGGGAGAAGGTGTTGAAAAGTCTTGTGTGTATAATTGCTCGTCTTGTAAGTAATGTATAAATCAATACTGTAATGATAATGCAATAAGTACTGATGAGTGGAAAGCCCAATGGCCTGGTGGCTAAAGCTCTCGCTTCACATGGCAAGGATCGGAGTTTGATTCCCGGCGAGGATAGGAACATTGGGCGTATTTCCTTACACTGGTTGTCTGTGTTCCCCATCAGTAAAATAGGTACCTGGGAGTTAGTTGACTGGGATGGGCCGCATCCTGGGGCAAAACTGGCCTAATCTGCCCGAAATGCTCTGCATAACAAGGAGCTTTCTATATAGTAGTATGTCAATGATGTCAGCTAGGACTGTATACTTTGTATATGTACTTGTAGAAATAAAGATATTATATTATATTATCATTATACTATATCTAACATCCACAGATAAAAAAAAAGGTACTATGGCATAATGGAAACCATTACTGGTTGACTGGGAAGGGAATATATGTCACTAACGTTGTTTTTGGGGTTACCTGGAGTATACTTGGAGAGAGTTCCAGGGGTTAATGCCCCCACAGTCAGGTCTGTGACCAGGCCTCATGGTGGATCAGGGCCTGATCAACCAGGCTGTTACTGCTAGCCACATGCAGTCCAACGTATGACCCACAGCCCGGCTGGTCAGGTACTGATTTTAGGTGCCTGTCCAGTGCCTACTTGAAGACCGTCAGGGGTCTGTTGGTAATCCCCCTTATGTATGCTGGGAGGCAGCTGAACAGTCTTGGGCCCCTCACACTTATTGTGTTGTCTCTTATCATGCTAGTGGCTCCCCTGCTTTTCATTGGGATGATGTTGCATCGTCTGCCGAGTCTTTTGCTTTCACAGGGAGTGATTTTTGTGTGCAAGTTCGGTACTAGTCCCTCTAGAATTTTCCAAGTGTATATAATCATATATCTCTCCTGTCTGCATTCTAGGGAGTACAGGTTTAGGAACTTCAAGAGTTCCCAGTAATTGAGGTGCTTTATCACAGTTATGCCCGTGAAGGTTGTCTGTGCATTTTCTAGGTCAGAGAACCTTCACAGGATGCTGTAGTGTGCAGCAATATTCCAGCCTAGATAGTACAAGCGACATGAAGAGTTATTCTAGGTAATTTTCATGTTATTATGTATGATAATTGTACTTATGTGTACCTACACCTAAATAAACTTACTTAATATAAGGAAGCAGAATGTGAGCTGGAAACATATTACTATCATGTTCTATTCCTGTACTTCCAGTAAACTTTCTTATAATGTTACATCACTTCTTGCTTAGATTTTATTTTAATAAAAGGGAAGCACCAAACCCGTAGGGGGGGTCACATTGTTACAATCAAAACTAAACGCTCTAAACCCACAAGGGTCATACAGCAGGGGGTGGAGGGGTTACAGTGTCTGGTGAACGGGAAGCATTCGGGTTCATTCCAAGGGGGGGAGAAGGTCCAGTGCCTTTGATCAAGAGCCCCCTAACTGACATCAAGGCACTTGCTGTGAGGGAGCTTCCCACTTAAATTATAATGGGGGAGCGTTAAACCCGTACGGATTATACAACGCTTGTAGGGATAGGGGGTGGAAGGCACTCAGGCTCAATTCAGGTAACTGGAGCACAGATCCGATTCCCTAGATCAAGAGCCCCTCACCAGCATCAAGGAACCTCCCTTGAGGAGACTTCCCACTTAAAGCTTACCTCAAATGGCAGACAGTTCATCGACATGGTGAACTACTACTTGTCTCTGTATTAAAACTTTTAAGATGCTATGACTGCAGCTTGCATAAACTTGATGCCTCACACGAATGCTATTAGCCAAAAATAAGCGCCAAGCCCGTATGATTCAGTGCTATAATATTCAATTATCATGCAACTCTCTATAACCTTCAGTGATCATCTGACCAGTGAGTCGCCTCCACCTGGATGGCAACACACACATCCCGAACTTTTCCGCAACTTATACAAAATTGTTGAATATAGAACACCTTTATTTATTTCTGTACATATTAGTTAACATTTAGCTTCAATACATAAAGAACACACATCCCGCTAATGTTTCTTAAAACCATCACTGGATATTTACAGTTCAGTCTATATAAGGTCAAGCATTAAATTATGAACTGTGTTAAGTATTTTTTACTTGTTTTGATAAATCAGCTGACTTATCAACCTGCCAGATGTTCTATAATTAAAGTATATAAAACTTATGAACACAATAATAATAGGCCTTATTTCCGATATCTGTTGTTAACTGATATTACCATTTTTATTTTATGTTTAGGGGTGAGCTATGTGCAGAAGCCTACAGGGATTTATTTTGTTTTTGACTAGCGGTTTGTGGCATTGGGATTTTTAATGTATGTAAATATTATCTTATATTGTTTTTAGTTTTGCTTAACGTTCTTTTTTTACATTATTCGTATGAAGTTCTTATGTTACATGTATAATTAAGCTGTAATAGTGATGTTCTTAATAAATTATATAAAAAGCCTAGACTTATCACTTAACTGAGAATAAATCTTATCACTACATAATCAGTGGTTTTCTAAGTAGCTTGTATCGTTTTTGTAATTAGTAGTTTTGTAAATATTAGTATTTGTAACTTTTGTAAGCTTTATTTGAAAACAGAAAAAAATGAAATTAACCTTCGTCCTTCGGACTTCAGTGTTGCTGCTTCAATTTATATTAAGTTCACTTCGTTATTCAGCCACATTTCCTATAATAAAAAAAAAATTCATAGATATAATCCAGTATATTATAAGTTCTGTATATTATAACTCTGTCTGACTTTTTTGGGTTATCCTAGGTTCTCTACACATATGCTGCTATGTATGATAATTCTATGTAACTGTATTTGTGTATACCTGAATAAACTTACTTACTTACTTATTCTAGATATGCCATGTGCCCATCTACTGTTATTTTAAATTCAGCATCATTTAAGGAGTAAATTATTTCAGAGATTTGTACACGTAACAACAATCATCTGCAATAATTAAGACTATAAAACGCATCAAAGAAATGGAAACTATCTAATTTTTTAATAAATCTTTAAAATATATTTTTAAAGATTAAATTACGGACAATATTTTATCCTTAATTGGGGGTGACATGGACTGTTTTGTTTACCTTTCTGGCCACCACCACTGAGGGGGTCTCTTATGTTCTGACCTCTGTTGTAGTCAATTTTATCCATGTTTTACGTTCTCAGAACTTGCTCGAGACACCCGGGAAGTACCGGGGTGCTGAGTGGTCCCAGGTGTGGTCTACGTGCAGCTATGGGGGCCGAAAGTGGGAGAGAAGAGGTGTAACAACCAGCACAAGGACTTTCTGTCCACCCCAGGAGTCTCAGAGCTCACGTAAGATACAGCAAAATAAAGAACAAGAGCGAGAGAATCAGTATGAGAACCCGTATCAAAGTAAAAAACCGGAGTATCAGAGGGATCAGTATGATAATCCATGGCAGAGAACGGTGGGTATATTAAGTAACGACATTAAGAACTATTTTGCCGGTATCCGTTTGATGTTTCGTCATATAAGTGGGTTGCAGGGTGACCCTGTGCCTGACCAAGTGCCCAAACTTACATGGCCTTCCCACTGTGACGTTCTGGTAGTGGGCGGCGGAGTTATGGGGTCCTCCATTGCATATCACCTAAAAGAGCGAGCTCTTCAGGGGTTAAATGTAGTTGTTGTCGAGGAAGATTCATGTGTAAGTATATTGTTTTGTGATGGTAAGTGATTCCTCATCTCTCCATTATTTATGTTGTCTTTCTACTCATCTCTGAGAATTGATGAGGTCCCTGGTGGACGAAATTTTCTCAATAAAGTGTCATAAACTTTTCATTATGTCTAAACATACTTGTTGGTATATAATACCATTGATAAACCATAAATATTATCCAGTAATGTCTAAAGTTGTTTTCTTAATGCCTGCCTCAGGGATTTTCAGTTTTGCATATAATTCATGTACAATAATAGAAATTGACACAATATACTTGGCTGATTGCTAGTGATTATTGTATTTAATGACTGAAATTTCTTCAGGTATTTTTCTTAGTAAAACATTATTGTCTCACCATGTCTACAGTACAAAAGAGCATCAACTGGCTTGTCAGTAGGTGGTATTCGGCAGCAGTTTAGTGTGCCAGAGAACATCCAACTCTCACAGTATGGAGTTGAATTCTTGCGTCAGTCCCCAAAGTTGCTAGCAATAGAAGGAATGGATCCTCCTCGTGTCCAGTTTCATCCTCACGGTTATCTCTCACTGGCTTCAGAGGCTGGGCTCAACCAACTTGAAGAGAATTATAAATTACAAGTGTAAGTTTTAATTAGCATACTTTTCCCATTTTACCTGTCATGTTTTAGATTAAAGCATGAAACATTTTGTGTGGTGCTACTGCCTACTGATTGATGATTGCCCTGTTGTTCTCTATATGCTGCTTTTTCTTTAATTTTCTCTAATTTTTCATGTTTATCATTCTCTAGACTCTCAGGTTTCAGGGGTAATTTGGGTGTGTTTCCATTTATGTTCACTTGGTTTTCTTGCCTGTGGCAATGATCTCTTACAGTGTGGTGCCTTTCTTGTTCATGCTAATATTTTTTACACTATAATTATTGAATTTTCATATTTTGTTACAATTTACTACTGACTGTGTTTACTTAGACAAGTGGTGAACCATCTGTTCCTTATTTTTATTTCATTCATGGGGAGGTACTAAACTTGTAGGAGTTATACAGCACCTGGGAAACAGGATGCAATCAGTTTTAATTCAAGGGGAGAGTAGCTCCAGTTCCTAGGATCAAGAATCCTTTGCTGGCATCAAGACCACCATGTTAAGGGTATCTGTTCCTTATTTCTCTCTCATTCCTGTTTCTTGTCTTTAGACAATACATAAATCTTAGTTTCTTGTTGGAAATTCTCCTGTTTGGTGATTTTAATTTCTGTCATTTCCTCTAGGGCTGATCTCAGTTGGACACTTGGGATGAGTTGTTGAAGTCTTTTTCTCACTTTTTTGCATGTATTGAATAACAGGATTTCAACTCCTGTAGATCCTATAGTTATTATTCATTATACTATTGACTTCTATTTGATCATCATTTGTTGCTTTGAATTTCAGTTAGATAATCAGATCAAACTATCTTCCCAGTAGTGATCATTTTCCAGTATCCTGACCTTTCATTCCCTCCTTATTGCTCAAGGTAGCCAACTGGGTACACATTATATGCAGGGGTGGTGCCAGAATGTTTGTACTGGGAAGGAGGGGTAAAAGTTGTCCCAGGAATAGTTGGAGGGAGGCAGTGGAAGAGTTTTGAGTGTTAGGGGCTCTAGCATCCAGCAGACATATGTGAATATCTTAATTGGAGTATTGGAAACAAGTAGTTTTAAATGCTTGCTGTGCTATTGGTTGTATTTGTGAAGAAATTCAGGGAAACCAGATAGCTGGACTTGAGTCCTGGAGTAGGAAGTATGTACAGTGCTTGCATACTGATGTAGGGGTGGGGATGTTACAATTGGATGTGGATGAAAGGTGGTGACAGCACACTCCTGGCAAGACAAATTCGGTGAATAATGGTGAATGTTTTTCTCGCTTTTGGGTCACCTGACCATGGGAGATGGCTAATGCCAGAACTTCGCTGTAAACTGTTTCGTGTTTCTTCGCATTTTTTTTTTTTTTATATTGTATAAATAAGTCACCATGGGGCCTAAGAAGATTAGTGATAACAGCCAACCAAAAAGAAAATTGGTTGGGAAAAATTGATTTGGTACTCGAACAGATCGGCACTCGAACAGCCTTCTGGAACGAATTAAGTTCGAGTACCAGGGTTCCACTGTATCTATCAATCCAGAAAAAATACAGAAAATGTTTAAGAATTTTTTTTTTTTAACTTCCTTGGCATATACATTATACTTTGCATAATAAGATGTTAACCCTTTGACTGTTTCAGGCCCCTTTCTGAAACTGTCATTCTATGTCGCTAAATTTTTGAAAAAAAAAAAAAAATATTTTTTCTTATGAAATGATAGAGAATCTTTTCCCGATGGTAATGACACCAAAAGTTAATTTGGTCAAAAACTCGTGGAATTACACTCCTGCGAAGTTAGCGGTCCCGGCGACATATGCGTATCAGCGATTTCGCCGACTTTGAGCCATATTTTCAGCCAATTCCGTTGTTCCAGTTGACCAAACTCATAGCTATTTCTTTAGAACTTCATTTTATCTATCAGCTGAGTACAAGAAACCTCCCATTTACCAATTTGGACTACCCAATCTTGTGGTCAGAAATTGGCAATTTGGCCAATTTCACGCAAACTAAAAAAGATGCCAATTTCAAAATAGGGTCCAGAATATACAAGGTAGACATTCTTGGCACTAAAATAACATATCCTCTGTTCATTAGTCACATCTCTAGGCCCCTCTTATATTATTATTGCTTTCTATTTTGATTTTTTATTCATACAAAAAAAAATACAAAATTTACTGTTATGCAGACTACTGCATTATTGTAAAAATGGTATAAATAATATGAGTCCACTAGTGAAAGAATATTAGACTCCCCAGTTGACGTGTATTGGACGTGTGGTGTGATTTGTTTACTCCTGAACATTGGTAAAAATCGAACATTTCCGCTACTTTGAGCTCAGTTTCAAGGTCGTTTTCATCGTCAAAGTAATAAAAATCATCTCTATTTCTGTAATATGTTTTCCATTTTATCACCTAAGACCATGAAAACGCAAATACATTGATAAATACTATACGAAAATACACCTCAAAGTTGGCGTTTTAATCCAAAAAAAGATCATAGTTTTTTTTTTCTCATTACGCACTGTGCGCTGCAGGATTTTTTTTTATGTGGTGCACACTGACCACACAGACCCATTCTCTCACATGTGGGCCTACCAGCTTTCTTCCGCTTGATTTGAAGCCGCTAGAATTATTGAGTATATATATGTCTGAAACACTGGCTCGTAAGACGTATATATACGACCAAAACAGTCAAAGGGTTAAGCTTATGATGATAAACTATATATTACTTTTATCTTTTAGGGAAATGGGCGCTAAACTGAAATTCATGCATGCAGAGGAGCTGAAAAACACCTTTCCTTGGCTAAATACAGATGGCATTGAAGCTGGAGTCTTGGGCCTGGAAAATGAAGGGTGGTAGGTAAGATGTAAACGTTCAAAATATTATGACTTGGTACAGTAATTACAGTTGCTGTTGGCTATTTTCTGATCAATTTAAAATGTGTAAATTGGCAAGTTGCATAATTAGCATTATCAAACTGTATGCCAACATTGTAGAGTATTATGGTTTTTATTTTTTAAGTGATTTCCCTGGTCAAGTGACAAGATAGATTTTGGTATATTTGTAGCTATGCTTTAATACCCTATACTGTACTTATAGCACCACAATATGTTAATTCATTTAAAATTATTATTATAATCATGGGGGAGCGCTAAACCCTTAGGATTATGCAGCGCATGTGGGGTGGATCCAATTCCCTAGATCAGGAGCCCCTCACCAGCATCAAGGAACCTCCCTTGAGGGGAATTCATTTAAAAGTGCAACAGGATTTTTTGTGATAGAAAAAAGAGAATTTTAATAGTTATGTCTCATCCATCACATTTTATTAGTGCCTTCTTCAGAGTCACTAAGTAATTGCTAATGTAAGGTCTTCTCAGTATTTTTCTTTCCTTGAAGTTTCATAATATCTTGCATATTCACTCTTAGTGTTTTCCACTTTTGTCTTATTTAATTTTTTCATTCCCTTATTTGGATTTTTTCAGTTATTGGTGTAGTAGCTTTTTCTTTACCCATACATATATTGTGCCTTACCATGACTCTTTACTGTTCTCCATTGAATATACATATTGCATTGCATTTTTCCCATGAAGTGCCAAACTCATGCTGGTCATTCAGTGCAAGGAGTGATGGAAATTCAATGCTCTGTCCTGAAAATGTGACCTGTTCTCTGACCAACATCCTTATTTTCTCTTTTTGTTTTTTACTTGGGTAGAAGAATTCCTCATTGAATAGTGTAATTCTTATATAGATTAAGACATACTCTGCTTCCTCATTACTAATGATGGGCATTTAAAGCATCAGTGTCATTATTATACTCGCTAAACACTAACCTAACTTTCATTATTTTTACAGAAATATGACTAACACACAACACAATAGATGTATATAGCTAACTGGATATAGATCCATACATAACCCCAGATCTGATCAAAAGGGGGGCAGCAGTGAAGTTTACTCCAATACTGAGATGAAATACATGTATATTAATTAAGCATATACACTTAACCCTCAATTTTAAGGACTAATAGTTGAGAGCCAGCAGCTAGCAACTGTGAATGTGATTGATAGAGATAAGATTGTTTTGCTGTGATCAAAAAAATAATTGGCAGTACGGTAACCAATGGACTTTGTCCATAGTCTCAAAATCAGTTGACCTAGTGAATTTTGCTCCATATTTAGTCTTTTAAATCAAAGGTGTACTTTAGTAGAGATGAGTTTGGGAGTGCATATTTGCACAATTTATAACAAATTTAGAAGCACTCACATTAGGGGGCAATCTACCCATCACCTCATATCAACAAATCAAGCCTTGGTGACAATCCTAATGATCCATTGTGTAACAGTATACTAAAGCAGCATTTAATAACAGCTAGAGACTTCAGCATTAACCTCCTCTAAGCTGAAGATCCACAAGTAAGTGGTTGCTACAATTGCTTATTAATACCGTAAGTAACCCAACCAATGAGAATTTGTGAAATCACTGCCTCGTCAGTAGATCATACCTGGACCAATATGTTAGCTCCTCAAATGCAGGTATTATTACCCACAAAACAACGAGTCATTATTCCATGTCTCTAATTACTAACGTCTTGAAATTATCACTAGAAACAAACAATATGATATTCAGACTCAGGAACACTGGCAGAGAGAATTTAATAATTATCTAGATATTAACTTGTTTCCAAATACTACTGCATTTCTACAAATAAATTCAGAATCTCTACAGTAAGTACTCCTCTCAAGGGAGGTTCCTTGATGCTGGTGAAGGGCTCTTGATCTAGGGAATTGAACCTGTGCTCCAGTTCCCTGAATTGAGCCTGAATGCCTTCCATGTTCCCCCCCATTCCCCGACAGGCGCTGTATAATCCCTACAGGTTTAGCTCTCCCCCATGATAATAATAGTATTAATATAATAAGTACTGCTCTCTAAAAACCAAACATATTGTATAATAGACTTAATAGCCCATGGCTAATTAACAGCATCCTCAGAGTCATGGACAAAAGAAAAGGCTGGGTTTAATATCCAAAGAAATTGCAAACATCTCTACTATGCTAACAGATTTCATGAGACAAAAAGATTATATTATAAATAAAGACCTGGAAAACACTTATATATTGGGTGCTAGTAAAGTGACTAAAATAAAACAAAAATTATACTAAATAAACCAAATGAACCTCTCATTCCAGTCACCGAAATGACAAATAATGTAAATTGAATAGAACTATATATCAAAGCTAACCAGTATCAAACTCCCAAACCCAAGATAAAGATTACTAAACATATACCTTTGCTTCCTATATCTATCACCATCCATTCCCACAGGTGGTTTTAAAAATTAATTTGCTGAAGACAAAGCAGGAAATAAAGTTAATATACCTTCAGTTCTTCACTCATGTATAAGAAAGCAATACATGTATGATCACTAACTATTGTGATGCTGTTTAACAACTCTATTGAAGCCAAAAATGTTCCCACACATACTTAGAGCAGTTAAAGTTACACCATTCTACAGAAGTGGAAGACTGTCTGAAATCATTAACTAATTGCCACTTTGTCTTCCTATTACTGTCTAAAATATTTGAAAATAATGACAAAAAATGTATGATTTCATAACAAACCCACATCCTTAATCCCTTCTGGTTTGGTTTCAGGCAAATGCTTAACTTATTCCACACATTCGTAGAAAACAATGAAAAACCAATAGGCCTCTTTCTTGATCTAAGAAAAGTTTTTGATATAGTAGACCACAACATTTTACTAATTAAACTAGAACATTATGGAATAAGAGCCCATATACTCTCCTAAATAAAATTCTACCTCAGTAACAGACTCCAACATGTGACTGTAAATGACACCATTTAATCTACTCAGATTACATGTTATAATCCTTATCTAAATGCTTGTACTAGTATTAAGTACAGGTCTACATCCCTTTATCCGAAATTCTGAAATTCCAAAAGTTCCAAAAACCAAAGTTTTTCATGGAGTGTGGAGCATCAGTTATCTCTACATAACTCTAATGCCACCACGTGGCAGCGCGACCCAGCACTGACAACCAGAGTGGCAGGCATCAGTTGTGTCTCAGCGCTTGTAGTGTTCACACATGCGTCTGCTGTTTGCTGATATTTTGTTTTTGCTTTTTATTTTGTGACTGTGTTTAATTTCACTGTGAAAATGTCAGAAAGAGCTGCAGATACCCCTATGGGTAACAGTGAGAAAAAGAAAAGGAAGCATCTGACATTATCAAAAACACAGAAAGTAGTGTTACTGCAGATGATGATGATGATGATGATGATGATGATGACATTGTGAACACAGGTGAAAATGTACCCATAGACAATATGGTGAAAATGTGTGTTCGGTTAATTGCTGGCCTTAAACAACATACATTTATCAGTGAGTAAGAGATTATGGCAATTTACTCAGTTAAAGAGAGATTGCTTAGACAGAAACCTATGTTAATAAGACAGATGACACTTGCAGAAATCTTTAAAAACGCTGTCTGTAATCGTCTTGAGAATTATGTTCCTGGTCTATAATTACCCCATTATTTCATTTATCAATATATTACTCTATAAATAAACTGTAGTAGTATTTGTAGTCTTTATTTATCCCACTTAGTGTGAGTATTCATACATTTTTGCTGCAGTGTTAATGTTTGATTATGGGGTACTGCCCTAGACTCCACCTTCATTCTAAAATTTGAAAAATTCTGAAATTCGAAACACTACTGGCCCCAGGGGTTTTGGATAAAGGAATGTGGACCTGTATTTCATAAGTGCTAGTTTTAGTTTACCCAAAAGGCTTCATATAATGGGCCTTTACAATGTACAGACAGATGTAATCCTAACCTTGAATCAGCATCCTTTAACTCTTGGAAATAAAATTTAAAATTGACATGCCTATACAGGGTTAGCACATAATTTTTAATATGTGCACATTTACAAAATAAACATCATATATCCAGTATTATATGAATGTGTTCCAAGTCTTAAATTTTTAGTTTTCACTCCTGCAGTGAGTAATTTCTATTTATTGTATTGTTATTGTTTAATTTATTGTGCATTGTTAATAAATGGAGTAAATTTTCCTTTTTATTGTCTTGCACTAGGTTCGATCCATGGGACCTTTTGTTCAGTCTGCGTAGAAAGGCAATTTCTCTTGGCGCTCAGTATGTCAACGGCAAAGTTACTGGATTAAAATGTAAAGACCTCGATGATGTCATCCTGGAGGTACATTATTCATCACCTATTAAAAACTTGAACAGTGCTGAGGTGAGCAATTTGGATGAATTGTAATTATTTTTAATCAGCAGATAGGCCTTCTTAAAGTCATTGATATTTATATCAGTGAATAAGTTTAATATTTTTGTAGCTATTCTATGAAGAGATTCGGTTAGTCAGACTTGATTTCTGGAGATGAGAGGTACTGTGCCTTCAGTCTAAAGGATGGGTGTTGGTCATCTGAACTATAATGTCTATGTAAAGATGGAAAAAGGCCCTAAGAAGGAAAACATTCACTATCACTCATTCCCTAACTGTCTTTTGTGAAGTAGACATCATAATTCAAATGTTCTACTGATTAACTGAACTCACATCCTGGAGGTGGAAGCACAGGTCAGATATATCAACTAATATTCATGTTAACTTAAGGTGTGTGTATCTGTTTATTTTTTAAAACAGGTTACACTTCCAAATGGAGAAAAACGCAGTATCACATTTGCAGTTTTAGTGATTGCTGCAGGAGCTTGGTCAGGGGAAGTAGGTCACCTAGTTGGCATTGGGGATGGCAAGGGCATTATGGCTGTTCCAATTCCTGTTGAACCAAGGTAGGTAGAAAGAATTTTATGTATTAAGTGGGTTTTTTTTGTACTAAGATATAACAAGGGGTGATAATTGAAAATTGTGGAAACCTCTTAACAAAAGTGTACATGATTCTTTATGTTTTATTTAATTACATAATTTTTCCTTAAGTTTTAATGCTATGTAACATCAAGGCTTATTGTGGTGTATTATTCTTTAATGTTAAAATATTTTCCTATTTTATATTTTGACATTATAAAATCATCTTGTTAAAATAAATAAATATCTTTCTTCTTTCTTTCAACACACTGGCCGTATCCCACCGAGGCAGGGTGGCCCAAAAGAAAAAACCAAAGTTTCTCCTTTCAAATTTAGTAATATATACAGGAGAAGGGGTTACTAGCCCCTTGCTCCCGGCATTTTAGTCGCCTCTTACAACACGCATGGCTTACGGAGGAAGAATTCTGTTCCACTTCCCCATGGAGATAAGAGGAAATAAACAAGAACAAGAACTAGAAAGAAAATCGAAGAAAACCCAGAGGGGTATGTATATATACGCTTGTACATGTATGTGTAGTGTGACCTGAGTGTAAGTAGAAGTAGCAAGACGTACCTGAAATTTTGCATGTTCATGAGACAGAAAAAAGGACACCAGCAATCCTACCATCATGTAAAACAATTACAGGCTTTCGTGTTACACTCACTTGGCAGGACGGTAGTACCTCCCTGGGCGGTTGCTGTCTACCAACCTACTACCTAGGATAAATAAATATATATATACTATATATACTATATATAATGCCTGCACTTTAAAGGAGGGGTTTGGGATATTGGCAGTTTGGAGGGATATGTTGTGTATCTTTATATGTATTTGCTTCTAAACTGTTGTATTCTGAGCACCTCTGCAAAAACAGTGATAATGTGTGAGTGTGGTGAAAGTGTTGAATGATGATGAAAGTATTTTCTTTTTGGGGTTTTCTTTCTTTTTTGGGTCACCCTGCCTCGGTGGGAGACGGCTGACTTGTTGAAAAAAAAAAAAATATATATATATATAAGAACATAAGAACGAAGGAACACTGCAGCAGGCCTACTGGCCCATGCGAGGCAGGTCCAAGTCTCCTACCGGCTTAAGCCAAGGCACCCAACCTAGTCAGGTCAGGTCACATTGCCTTAAGGGAGGAACACGGCAACCGACCTGGTAGCACAAGCTGTCAGGTCCAACTCACACCCACCCACATCCACTCATGTACTTATCCAACCTATTTTTAAAGCTACACAACGTTCTGGCCTCTATAACTGTACTTGGGAGTTTGTTCCACTCATCCACAACTCTATTACCAAACCAGTACTTTCCTATATCCTTCCTGAATCTGAATTTTTCCAACTTAAAACCATTGCTGCGAGTCCTGTCTAGGCTAGATATTTTCAGCACACTATTTACATCCCCTTTATTTATTCCTGCCTTCCATTTATACACCTCAATCATATCCCCCCTAATTCTACGTCTTTCTAGAGAGTGCAGAATTACTAAATTTAAGAGAAACTTTTGTTTTTCTTTTTGGGCCACCCTGCCTTGGTGGGATATGGCCGGTGTGTTGAAAGAAAGAGTTTTCTGCATAATATTTACACCACACATTGCCATTAGACAGGACATCTCCACTGCTTCCAACCATTTCTTCGCTGCAGCATTTACAACCCAAGCTTGACACCCGTGTAAGAGTGTTGGTACCACTATAATTTCATACATTCCCTTCTTTGCCTCCATAAATAACGTTTTTTGTTTCACATATACCTCAATGCACCACTCGCCTTTTTTCCTTCATCAATTCGATGATTAACCTCATCCTTCATAAATCCATCCGCTGACATGTCAACTCCCAAATATCCAAAAACATTCATTTCTTCCATACTCCTCCTCTCCAATTTGATACCCAATTTTTCTTTATCTAAATCATTTGTTACCCTTATCACCTTACTCTTTTCTATGTTCACTTTCAACTTTCTGCCTTTACACACACTCCCATACTCGTCCACTAACCTTTGCAACTTTTCTTTAGAATCTCCCATAAGCACAGTATCATCAGCAAAACATAGCTGTGTCAATTCCCATTTTGTATTTGATTCCCCATAATTTAATCCCACCCCTCTCCCCAACACCCTAGCATTTACTTCTTTTACAACCCTATCTATAAATATATTAAACAACCATGGTGACATTACACATCCCTGTCTAAGACCTACTTTTACCGGGAAGTAGTCCCCCTCTCTTCTACACACCCTAACCTGAGCCTCACTATTCTCATAAAAACTCTTTACAGCATTTAGTAACTTACTACCTATACTTGCAACATCTGCCACATTGCTCCCCTATGCATTCTATCATATGCCTTTTCTAAATCCATAAATGCAATGAAAACTTCCCTACCTTTATCTAAATATTGCTCACATATATGATTCAATGTAAAAACTTGATCTACACATCCGCTACCCACTCTAAAACCTCTTTGCTCATCCGCAGTCCTACACTCTGTCTTACCTCTAATTCTTTCAATAATAACCCTACCGTACACTTTTCCTGGTATACTCTGTAAAAATTATCTCTTTTGTTCCCCTTCCCTTTATATAAAGGAACTATACATGCTCTCTGCCAATCCCTAGGTACCTTCCCCTCTTTCATACATGTATTAAACAAGAATATCAACCACTCTAACACTATATTCCCCCTGCTTTTAACATTTCTGTCATAATCCTGTCAGTTCCAGCTGCTTTACCCCCTTTCATTTTATGTAAGGCCTCACGCACCTCCCCCACACTCACATCCTGCTCTTCTTCACTCCTAAAAGATAGTATGCCTCTCTGGCCAATGCATGAAATTACCACCTCCCATTCTTCATCGACATTTAAAAGTTCCTCAAAATATTCCCGCCATTTACCCAATACCTCCATCTCCCCATCTACTAACTCCCCTACTCTATTTTTAGCTGACAATCCATTCGTTCCCTTGGCTTTCTTAACTTCTTTAACTCACTCCAAAATTTTTTCTTATTTTCATTAAAATTTCTTGACAGTGCCTCTCCCACTCTATCATCTGCTTTCCTTTTTCACTCTCTCACCACTCTCTTCACCTTTCTTTTTATATATATAAATTTATTTATTTATTTATTTTGTGAAAGGATTCAGGGAAACCGATTAGCCGGACTTGAGTCCTGGAGGTGGGAAGTACAGTGCTTGTAATTTAAAGAAAGGGTTTGGGATATTGGCTGTTTGGAGTGACATCTAAACTATTGTATCTGGGCATCTCTGCAAAGACTAATTATGTGTGAATAATGGTGAAAGTTTCTTAATTTTTGGGTCACCCCGCCATGGTGGGAAATGGCCAATGTGTTAAAAAAAATGAATTATCATAGTGAAGTGTTAAACCCATGGAGGTCATACAGTTGATAAATTAGACACCTGTGCAATGCTTGGGTATCTTTATTGAGGAAACGTTTCGCCACACAGTAGCTTCATCAGTCCATACAAAGGAGAACGGGGAAGAACAGGAGGAGTTTGAGGTAATCAGTCCCTCAGCCTTGAGTCTTGAAAAGAATACAGCACATCTGCAGAGAAGTAGCTTATATACCGTAGGCATGAGAGGTGCAGCAGTCGTAGGTGGTATCACATTTGTCCAATGTGGAAGTAGGTCATGCCCAAGGGTTGGGCAAGTGAAGAATTTCATGTATTAAGATCCCAAGATGTTGCTGTGTCAGACAGGAATGTAGATGAATGGTTCACAGAACCGACCAGTTGATAAATTTGACACAAGTGTTGCACATGTGTCTAATTTATCAACTTGTTGGTTCTGTGAACCATTCATCTACAGGTCATACAGTACATGGGAAATGGGAGGCAGTCATGTTCAATCCAAGGAATGCGAGGACTGGTCCACTTCCACAGGTATTGTGTGACCCCTATGAGTTTAACATTTCACCATGAATATAATAGTTATTATGAATGATTATTATTCTATCAAGATAGCATTTACAATCTTTAATGTTTTTATTTGAGGTTTTGTAATTGTTCCAGAAAACGATATGTATACTGCGTCCATGCTCCTGAGGGCCCAGGACTAGATGCTCCCCTAGTGATTGATCCTAATGGTACATACTTCAGACGAGAAGGCTTAGGTGGTCTTTATCTGTGTGGACAGTCTCCAGAAGAAAATGATGAGCCACCCATAGATGATCTTGAAGTTGATGAGACATTTTTTATGAATAATGTGTGGCCAACAATAGCTAATCGTGTTCCTTCTTTTGAAAACTTAAAGGTACAGTGCCATAAAGAACATGTTATACATGGTATTAATTTGATGGATTACACAGTTTGCTTGAACTAAAAACAATCAACTTGCATCTTTCTAACATTTAAAGCCTTAATGGTATCATTGTTCAAGCCCTTCTATACCAAATATATGTACAATTTTCGATTATACTGTTCAGTAATAAATTTAGTTTTCCCTATATATTTAGTTAAGTATTTCATTATTAACAGCTCAAGACCTCGTGGGCTGGTTATTATGACTACAATACTTTTGATCAGAATGGCATCATTGGACTTCATCCACTCTTTTCCAACATGTTCATTGCCACAGGCTTCACTGGTCATGGTAAGATTTAGAAGTACAGTATTGGTTAAGGATTCAGAAAGTTCAAAGGATGTAAGAAAGAAGCAGCACTTCACTTCAGCAGGTCTAGTGGCTTATTATAGGCAGGTCCAGGTCACACCCGCTCAAGAAGAAAGGAAGGAGCACTGCTGCAGGTCTACTGGCCCATGCTAGTCAGGTTCAACTCACACCCACCCACACAATAACTTTTAAGAAACTGATAAAAGAGTAGTCCACTTGAATTAACTTGCAACATTAGTATGGAGTAAGCACTGAAAATCTGTAGACAAACAGTGGGCCATATACTCTCTGCTTGCTGTTGAGTAATGATTAAGACTGAAGTTAAGTTGTCTTCATATATATTTATCATATTTAATTAGCAATCTTTTCATTTTTGTATGTAATTTCCAACATTGCTGTTGGATCTTTTCTTACTTTATTCATCCTTTGTGCAAACCTTGAACTATTAAGGCAATCCTTATAAACCTTCTTTAGTTTGGTACAGTGGAACCTCAAAAATTGAACTGCTCCCAACACAACCAATTATGTAAGTGTATTTTTGTAAGTGCTTTTATAAGTGTATTTTTGAGGGTCTGAAATGGACTAATCTAATTTACATTATTCCTGATGGAATAAATTCATTCGGTAAAGGCACTCGAACAGCCTTCTGGACTGAAGAAAGTTCGATATTTGAGGTTCCACTGTATATTCAAACCTTTGAAAATAACAGATTAGGATTGCTGTACTTGGTTTTTAGTCAATTTATTCAAGTGATATTTTTGAGAAAAATTCTTTCATTGGTTGCTAAAACTATGTTTAGCTTTTTCTGTCAGTAGTAATACTCGCAATCTTTCCTAATTTGTCATTGTTTTGTGTTACTTTTCTGGGTATATAGTAACAACAGCAATTAAAGTAATATTACATTTGTTGCCAGTTTACCTTTTTTGAGCAGAATCATAATGTTTTGTGAATTTCTGCAGGCATCCAACAAGCTGCAGGTGTGGGCCGAGCCATCATGGAGTGCATTTTGGAAGGGAAATACTGCACTATCAATCTTGAACGTTTTGGCTTTGAAAGGATCCTTATGAATGAGCCACTTTTTGAAAAGAACATATATTAAAAATAAAGGAAAGCTTTTGTTTTTCTTTTTGGGTCATCCTGCCTCAGTGGGACGCGGCCAGTTTGTTGAAAAAAAAAAAAATATATTAAAAATGTACATAGCTATCAGTGACGAAGTTGAATAAATTCAGATCTTGACATAATTAATGACTGGATTTTCTCAAGGAAAATGCAAAGTAGTTTAATAAAATAGCCATTAATTAAATGCAGTGTAATAGCTACTGAATGTAAATGTTGTTGTATTAATAAAAGCATAGTTTTGAATAATCCCTACAGGTTTAGCACTACCCTTGTAAAAGTAATGATAATAATTGAGTGATTCAAGACATCACCAAGGCTAATAATTGATTGTAGAGATTCTGAAGCACGGGCAGGAGGCTGGCGCTTATATAGGCGTCAGTGGATGAGGGCATAGTCACTGGCAGGCGGGATTCCCCAGTGGAAGTAGGTCATACCCACAGGGATGGGTTAGTTGTAGTAGCTGTGAAGAAGGTCATGTAGATGTCCTCTGAATCAAGATTCCATGTTGCAGTGTCTGACAAGTTGTGCAAGAAAGGTATACAGTACCGACAAGATGAAAGTTAAGACACATGTGCAACATCTGGTTATCTTTATTGTAGACGTTTCACCATCCAGTGGCTTAATCAATGGTGAAACATCTACAGTAAAGATAACCAGATGTTGCACGTGTCTTAACTTTCATCTTGTCAGTATTGTATACCTTTCTTGCACAACTTGTCAGACATTGCAACATCATGGAATTTTGGTTCAGAGGACATCTACATGACCTTCTTCACGACTACTACAACTAACCCATCCCTTTGGGTATGACCTACTTCCACTGGGGAATTCTGCCTACCAGTGACTATGTCCTGTCAATTCCTCAGCCTATGTCAATTCCTCAGCCTGGAGAAGAGTTCTGTTCCATAGTCTGAAACAATGTGAAGATCAAGTGACAGTGTGGAGACTTATATACTGCTCCTTCCTGCTTTCTGTACTTGACTGAAGACGCCTACTGTGTAGGTGAAACGTTTCAAAATAAAGATGCCTAACCATTGCCAAAAATAATGTTGCTTCAAAGCTAGTCTCCTAGCCCCCTTCCCTTTCGAGCCAGATAGTTGCTCCATAGTATAGATATACGTAATGCCACCCCGGCTTATTGTCATGTGTGAATTACGATGCATAATAACTAATCATTCATATACTGTTGTATCTGAGTGCCTTTGCAAAAACAGTACTCACCTAATTGTACTCACCTAATTGTGGTTGCAGGGGTCGAGACTCAGCTCCTGGCCCCGCCTCTTCACTGATCGCTACTGGATCCTCTCTCTCTCTGCTTCCTGAGCTTTGTCATACCTTCTTAAAACTATTTTATGGTCCTGCCTCCATACTTCATTGCTAGGCTATTCCACTGGCTGACAACTCTATGACTGAAGAAATACTTCCTAACGTCCCTGTGACTCGTCTGAGTCTTCAGCTTCCAGTTGTGACCCTTGTCCCTGTGTCCCCTCTTGGAACATCCTATCTCTGTCCACCTTGTTTTATTCCCCGCAGTATCTTGTATGTCGTTTCATGTTCCCCTGCCCCTTCTGTCCTCCAGTGTCGTCAGTCCGATTTCCCTTAACCTTTCCTCGTTACGACATTCCCTTGAGCTCTGGGGACTAGCCTTGTTGCAAACCTTTGTACTTTCTCTAACTTCTTGACGTCTTGACCAGGTGTGGGTTCCAGCTGGTGCTGCATACCCCAAAGTATGGGCCTAACATACACAGTGTACAGTGTTTGAACGATTCCTTATTAAGGTATCGGAACGCTTATTCTCAGGTTTGCCAGGCGCCCGTATGCTGCAGCGGTTATTTGGTTGATGTGTGCCCCCGGTGATGTGCTCGGTGTTATGGGTCACCCCAAGGTCTTTCTCCCTGAGTGAGGTTGTGTCCTTTGTCCACCTAGCCTATACTCGGGTCTGCGGTCTTCTTTGCCCCTCCCCAAAATCTTCATGACTTTGCATTTGGCTGGATTGAATTCGAGAAGCCATTTTACTGGACCACATGTCCAGCCTCTCCAGGTTCTTTGCAGTCCCCTGCTTTTCCCTTCGTCCGATTTAATTCTTTTCATCAGCTTCACGTCATCTGCGACAGGGACACTTCAGAGTCTTTTCCCTTTTCCATCATGTCGTTCACATATATCAAAAATAGCACTGGTCCTAGAACTGCCCCCTGTGGGACCCCGCTCGTAACAGGCGCCCCTGTGATACCTCTTCACGTACCATGCCCTCGTTGCTGCCCCCCTGTCAGGTATTCCCTTACCCTTTTGCATTTGCCCTTCCCTTTTTTACGTGTGCCTGATCTCAGCTTCTGCACTAATCTCTTGTGGGGAACTGTGTCAAAGGCCTTCCTGCAGTCTAGGAAAACGCAATCTACCCAACCCTCTCTCTCGTGTCTTACTTCTGTTACCTTGTCATAAAACCCCAGGAGGTTTGTGATACAAGATTTGCCTTCCATGAACCCATGCTGGTTTTAAATTTATAATCTTGTTCCTTTTCCAGGTGTTCGACCACTCTCCTCCTAAATAATTTTCTCCATGACCTTGCCCCACGATACATGTCAGAGACACAGGTCTGTGTTTAGTGCCTCTTTTCTGTTTCCTTTCTTAAATATGGGGACTACATTAGCTGTCTTCCATTTCTCAGGTAGTTGCCCAGTTTCAAGGGATGTGTTGAAGATTGTGGTTAGAGGCCACACAGCATCTCTGCTCCTTCTCTAAGGCGCATGGGGAGATGTTGTCCGGTCCCATCGCCTTTGAGGTGTGTCAAGGTCACTTAAGAGCTTCTTACCTCCTCCTCAGTTGTTCGTATGTCATCCAACACTTGTTGGTATAATCCCTTTGATGTTCCCTTCTGTTCTGTCTTCCCACAGCCCTTCCTGTCTCTATGTAAAAACTTCCTTGAATCTCCTGTTCAGCTCCTCACATACCTCCTGATCATTTCTTGTGAGTTCTCCACCTTCTGTCTTAATCTGATCACCTGGTCTTTGACTGTTGTCTTCCTCCTGATGTGGCTATACAACAGTTTCGGGTCAGTCTTGATTCTCGTTGCTATGTCATTTTATACTGTCGCTGGGCCTCCCTCCTTACCTGTGCGTACTCATTCCTGGCTCTGGGGACTGATCTCCCTATTTTCGTGTGTTCTCTGCCTTCTGTACTTTTTCCATTCTCTATTCACTTTGTTTTGCCTCCTTACACCGTGGGTGAACCAGGGGCTTGTTCTGGTCTTCCCCTTGTTACTGTTCCCTTGGAATGAACCTTTCCCTGCCTCCTGCATTTTGTTGCTACATATTCCATCATTTCATTTACTGGCTTTCCTGCCAGTTCTCTGTCCCACTGGACCTCCCGCAGGAAGTTCTTCAAACCCCATGTAGTCCCCCTTTTATAGTCAGGTTTTCCCATTCTACTCCTGTTTTTTCTCTCCACTTGCAGCTCTACTATGTATTCAAAGCACAGAACCACGTGGTCGCTAGCTCCTAGGGGACTCTCATACTTGATGTCCTCAATGTCTGAGCTGCCCCGGGTGAACACAAGATCCAATCTTGCTGGTTCAAACCTCCCCCCTCACTCTGGTAGTGTCCTTAACATGTTGGTGCATGAGGTTTTCCAGCACCACGTCCAACATCCTGGCTCTCCATGTTTCGGGACCCCCCTGTGGCTCCAGGTTTTCCCAGTCAATCTCCCTGTGGTTGAAATCCCCCATAACCAGCAACTTTGCTCTGCTGGAGTGAGGGTCTTCTTGCCACCTCAGCAGTGGGGGTCCACCATTGCTCTGTTGCTCTCTTCATATTCCTCTCTTGGCCCTGCAGTTCTGTGGTGGATTTTACATCACTGCAAAGACCACTTTGTGTTCCCCGACTGAAGTGTACCTGCTATGTAGTCTCTTTCTCCCGTCTCATCTATTCCTTCCTTTTCTCGAATTTCCATTGTTTTTTACGAGCAGAAACAACCCCACCTCCCCCCTGCCCCTTCTATCTTTCCTCATGATCTGGTTCTGGTGGGAAGATTGCATCTGTTATTGTCTCCATGGGGTTTTGTTTCCTGTAACTGCTATGATGTCTGGGGACTTCTCATTGTTCTTTCTTGCCATTCCTCATGGTTTTTTCGTTAATCCATCTGCATTTGTGTACCAAACCTTCAACTTCTGTTTATACTGTAACTGTGGTGCGGGGGGTGGAAACAGAGGGATCGGTGTGTGATGGTTGGTTTGGATTGTTCAGTTGCCTTTGGGGGTGTCGTGGCTGGAGTCCTTCTGCAGGTGTTTTTGGGGGGTGCGTTGTTTCCCTTTCCCTTTGATCCTGGGTTATTCTGCCCCTCTTTTTCATTTCCTCCCATTTCTCCTTTCGTTTTGAACTCTCTCTTTCATTGTCTTCCTTTCGTCCTGTGTTTTGTCTCGGTCGAGGTACACACTCCGGAACTCCTGCTTGCCTCTCAGTCGTGCTTCTCCTGCAGGATCATGGTTCGGGTTGATTCTGCCTTGAAAATTACTTTGAGAGGCCGATTCCTTTTTCTTTGTGAACCACCCAATTCTCCGAAAATTTGCCACTGGGTCATGTCCCCTCGCCTTTCACCTTCATGATGTCTTCAATCGCTTTTTTCTCCCTCCCGCTTTCTTTCATCATAAGTTTCCCCTTTAGCTTGTCTAGCCCATAGACAAACACGGATCTCTCCCTTTCCACCTCCCACTGTGCCTCCCATTGCATCCTCTGATGTGTTTTAGTTCCTTCCCGTGGAGTGTTCCTTTTCCCTTTAGTCCCTTCCTCGTTTTGGCCCCTATGCTATCTTGGTTTATCCTTCCTGCTCACCTGCTCCTGGCCCCCACAGGTATCTGGTAAGGTCCTTGCACATGTCCTAGTTCCTTCGATGTCTTCCAACCTCTCTTTCTGTCCTAGAGTGCTCCCTGTCTTTGTTTTGGCCCCATGTGGGTTTGACAGGACCTCTGCATACAGTTTAGTTTCCATGCTTCCTTCGGACCTGTTGTCTGTGTTCGATGTAGCCATTGCCGATGCTACTTCTGTAATATCTTTGTCTCTGTGCTGTTTCAGATGTCTCGGCTCCTCTTCTAATCTCTCTATCTTGATTTCTGCTTCTGTGGCTTGTTGCTTCCACCTTCTGCATTCTGCTGCTAACCTCTCTTCCATCTTCCTATGTATGAGTGATGGTGACAGTGTTGAATGATGATGAAAGTTTTTTCTTTCTTTTTTGGGTCACTCTGCCTTGGTGGGAAA